ATTCGTAATTGGAAAAAATCGGCGAAACGAATATCTGCATCGAAGAGCAACTTTCGAGCGTGACGCGTTAAACGGAGATAGAAAGAGAGCGGCAAAAAGAGAGAGAGAGAGAAAGAGAGAGAGAGAGAGAGAGCAGGAAAGGGGTTGAAGGGCGATGGGGGTGTGCAACGATGGCGGCGTTGAATCGGTGAGAGGGAGGACGGAGGAGTTCCGAAATGAGTACCCGTGCAAATACGCCAGGATTGTTTTTGCCGCTAATTGCCCGGTTTTTTGCAGGGGCTCGGCCAACAATCGATTTGCATTTCAAAGGTAGTTCGGCATAAAAATAAAATGCACCCTCCTACGTTAAAAGTTGACCGGCTAGTATTCGTGTGTACGTTCGTTTCTCTATTCGGCACGTTAGAGTATTCGCATACAGATATATGAATATATTTGTAGATGTGGTATGCGTGTGTGTGCATGCGTACGAATGCATGTTTGTCTGTGCACACACACACACACACACACACACACACACATACGTACATATATATATATTATATTATATGCGAGACAGAGAGAGAGAGAGAGAGAGAGAGAAAGAAAGATAGATATTATATGCGCATACGTGTAGTATGCGTGCAATCAAATTATATGATACGCGTGGACACTTTTAATATCGACGAGATAGAAAGTTTGTATCTACGAGAAGCGCGAGAATTTAATATATTTTTACACGTTAATATTTGTACAATTTTTGTTGGATACTTGTGACTTGATAGAAATGAATTTTTGAAATATGATTTTTCCTTTCTCTCTCTCTCTCTCTCTCTCTCTCTCTCTCTCTCTCTCTCTCTCTACCCCCCCCCCCCACCCATCCCTCGTCCCCTGCGAGGAATAAAATACCCGTTTATCTTCGTTAATGGGATGGTTATCGAAAGAAAATGTCATTGTTAGGTGGACCAACGCGTTTCCACAGTTTCGTGGCGAGTTCGGAAAATAGGTTAATATTCGTGGCGACGGGTAGACGACGATCAGGATGAAGGACGCGAAGGGTTGGACGATGGTAAACGGAAGGGTAGGAGGTAGTGGGAATGCCGGCATCGCATTCGCCGCACGCCGAATATTTCGTTTCCTGTCGCTCCTGTAGGGAGGGTGAACAGTATTTGATTTTACGCAGTACGCATGGAGCGGTTTCCACGAACGTTAATTATCACTGACCACCTACGGCCCCATTACATTCCAATCGACCCCTTAATCAACGCATGATTGGTGTACTAATTGATTGCTACTCCGTAATTATAACAGTGCACTGCACCAGATACAGGTATCGCAATCCCGAGACATCAAGAAGCGAGAGAGTTACGTTTCTCTTATCCAACCAGAATCTAATATTTCACTCGTGGATCTTTTTTTATTTCCATCCCATAGAAAAAAAAAAGAGAAGAAAAAGAAAAAAAAAAGAAAAAAAAAATAAAAAGAAAAAAAAGTTAAAAAGAAAACAGAACAAAGGATGACAATTCGAACGAAAATTTAAACGTAATATAAAATCGATGAATTTATTTGTCCGGTTAAAAAATAATCTTATTCAAAATCGATATTTTACATTCTTACGTGTATACGTATAATACGTAACAATATACGGCATATGCTCTCAATCGATCTAAAAATATAATTATTATATTTATGTTTTTATTTGATTAATATTTATTGAAATTGTTGTTGTTTAGAAGAAGAAAAGAAAAAGAAGAAGAAGAAAAAAAAATTCGTATTATTTATGACACCCTAACGATGGTATACATTTCATAGGATATAAACGTCAACTTGATCGTAAAGATTTTTGACAAGATTCAACGTATCAGCTGCTGCCTTACGATGGTGGGAAATGTAGGTATCGAGCGTGATTTATCTTCTCGGTCGGTAAAAAATCGATAAAAGATTTACCACCGAAGATATGAATTGACTGGCAGTCGGTAAAATTATCCTTCTACGTTACCGACAAAAGCTATTTTTAGAAAATTGTTGGTAATCAGATTCATTGACAGCTATTTTCTTTTCTATTCTTCGTAACCCTAATACTATAATGAATTCACGATAATTCGTAGTAAATCATTAGATCATTATATCTATCACTGTATAAAATTCATATATTATTATTATTATTATTATTATTATTATTATTATTATTATTATTATTATCGTTGTTATTATTATTATTATTATTATTATTATTATTATTATTATTATTATTATTATTATTATTATTATTATTATTATTATTATTATTATTAAAATTGAAAATCATCGAAGAGTATGAAAACGTTAATACGAATTGTATATGATTATATTTTAATTCTTTTAAAAATTTCAACGTACGATTACAAAATATATCGTTGTATATTAAAAGACGATTTATAAGCAAAATTAATGACACTTACGTGTTTATCCTGATCGGTCCACGCCTATAATAATTTTCATATACCGTAACGCGTTTATCCGCGAGTCCACTTTCATGAAAGCGCAGCAAATATGTACGTACGTACATAATAGCGTCATCCTTTCGGCGTCCACGGTAATCCTGATATTTACAATTAGTAACATATTAATTCGGTTGATTTGAAACTGTATGCGCGATTGCGGTTCACGAGGCTGTATAGAATTTCATTAAATCGTCGGTTAGCCACTCGTCGATCGGTGGAACGTAATCGACGGTCGGATTTATATCAATTATTAGAAAATATATATATATATATATATATATATACGTATACATATACATACATACATATATATATATATATTATATATATATATATACATATATAGATTGACGTAGAACATCATCGGTGCGCCGATTCCGATTCTCATTCCATTCGACAAACGTTGTTTTGCCACTGAACGATGGACACCTCTCATTCCGCTCTTTGAATATCCTAAACAGCTACAAATACTCTTACACGCAAGAGATTACGCGAAATGTCGATGGAATCATTGATAAAATTATTGGGGAACGTTTCGTCGATGATTCCGTTATTCTGTAGTAGAGCCGATCAACGTCAAATCGAATATCGTTTAAACGAAACTCCGAGAAGGAAAGAAAAGTCATTTCACAATATATATATATATATATATATATATATATATATATATATATGTACGTACATATTTATATTCAGGATGGAACAAAGAATTCTTCCTCTTGTAATACCTGTGATAAAAGAAAAAGAATTAATATAGAAAAAAAGAAAAAAGGGAAAAAAAAAAGAAAAACCGGAAAAAAAAGAAAAAAGAAGAAGAAGAAACTAAAAAAAAAAAAAGAAAAAAGAAAAAAAAAAGAAACAGAAAAGAAAAAATAAAAGACGTAACATGTTATAATCGTTAATTTTTTCTCTTTACTGAGCGAGACCTTAGATCGGAACAGTGAAACGAGCTAAACTATTAACTTTCTCAAAATTCCATCTACATACTTAAGGATGAGTATTTGTATCATACCCCTCTCTGTCTCTCTCTGTCTCTCTCTCTCTCTCTCTCTCTCCATCTCTATCTATCTATTTACCTTTGTCTCTAATTTTCTAACCACTCAGGATACAGACCCCAGTGATCAGCGAAGTTTTAAATAGAGAATCGTAAAGGTCCAAAGAGATCGCTATAATTCGATAGAGTCTCATCTATTGTTATATACGTTCTCCAAGCAAGAGACAAGCGTGTTCTTATTCGTGATGGGCATGTTGACGGGCATAAAGTGAGAGAGATAGACAGAAAGAGAGAGAGAGAGAGAGAGAGAGAGAGAGAAGAGAGAGAGAGAGAAAGAAAGAGAGAGACGAGATACGGCATTCATCTATAGATACACATATATGTATATGATATATACGTATAGAAGAGTGTACAAAGGCACGCGACAGCCTGCCGGCTGGCCATAGATGCGACGTTGTGCATCGGGAAGCAATGCATATTCAAAATCCAGCCGCGGGCAGCATGCCAGGGCAACGGAGTCTCTTGTTTTGCGCCCGGCTAGAGCACGAGTCCGCAAATTTGGTTACTTCATTTTGAGCCCTGACCACCACCCACCTCCCACAATCCTCCTCATCCTTCTCTCTCTTTCTCTCTCACCCTCTCACTCTCTCTCTCTCTCCCTCTCTCTTGTGTATAGATACACACACACACACACACACACACATATATATATATATACATATAATATATACATACACATGAGCGCGCTCTTTCGCTCTCTTTAGTCGACGTCGCACACTCCACGTTTTACCCCTCGGCGTATGTCCGGGGTTATGAATTTTAATAGCTTTACGCCGTGCTACGCGGGGGTGGAAGGTGGTCGGTGGGGTACGAAGAGAGAAAGAGAGAGAGAGAGAGAGAGAGAAAGAGATGCAAAAATGGCGGCCGGTTTTTCGCCCGTCAAATTGTCGATAGATTAGATTAAAGAAAAAAATCGAGAGAGAGAGAGAGAGAGAGAGAGAGAGAGGAGGGTGGTGATGGTGATAGTGATGGTCGTGGTGTTACTGATGGTGGTGGTGGTATTGGTGGTAGTAGTGGTCAGGGTGGAAAAGCGTGTGACGAAAACGACGTTTCGTTCTCGTCGAGCCCCGACGACGGTGCATTTTTTTTCCCGATCGTTCGTGCTTGTTCGCGCAAGCGTTATATAGAAAAGAAAAAAAAGGAGAAAGAGAGAGAAAGAGAGAGAGAGAGAGACAGAGAGAATAATTTTCTATTTTTGTTTTCTTTCTCTATCCCAAATTTTTCTCTTACGAATTATTTCGACAGAAGAAGAAGAAAAAAAAAATGTAAATAATCCATTAGAATATGTCCCCTTTCCTTCGGAGACATCAATGCGATCGGTTCGGCTTAAGAATTAATTTTCAAGTCGACCTGTAAACAAACCTTCTTGGTAATTATCTATATCTATCTATGTATGTATATATATATATATATAAACACACACACACACACACACAAACAGACATAAGATGCTTATGTTTCCACCTTTCGAGAAAGCAGTCGTTCGCGTAACGTCGAACGAGAAACATCGTTTCGTACTTATTCCTAAATATACGACGTAAGTATATGTATTTATCGTTTCCTATTCCTTTGTTTCGTAATCTATCAAACTATAGATTCTCTTTTGAGGATCACGTCGTTGCTCATATTTACCAAGTATTCAATTTCATTAAGTATTATTATTGTTCTCCGACATATACACCTTAATACATCGTAATGTAGAAAAAGAAAAAAAAAAGGAAAATTAAGGAAAAAAAAAAAAAAAAAAAAGAAAGAGAGAGAAAAGGGATAAGACAATTGTACGATTGAAAATTATTTTTTTTGGTTTTCTTCGTTTTTTTTCTTTCATTCTTTTTTTATTTTTCTTTCTTCATCCAACAGGTAGTAGATACATCATTGAGAATATATTCGCAACTATTCTTCATCTTTTCTCTCTCTCTCTCTCTCTCTCTCTCGCAAAGGAAAATCACTTAAACGATGTTCACCTGTTCACAATATTCGTTGGTTGAATCCTTAGGATTAATCCTTGTTTATTCGATAGCCTTTAACGCTCGTTATCATGGTGGACGAGCTCGTGGCCGATTTAAATCGTTACCCTGCGTTCCGAAATCGTTTGGTCCCACCCTGGGGAACGTTTTGACAATAGTACAGGCTGCCTCATCAAGTGAAATCATCGTCACCAAAACTCGCAGATGGCTAAACGTTTCGAAGCTTGGTCCCACCCTTTCTCTCTCCCTCCCTCTCTCTCTCTCTCTCTGTCTCTTTCTCTCATACTCTGTATGTCTCTATCTCTCTCTTTATCATAGTCCATTCGAGCAGCTCTTTCTCTCTCTCTCTCTCTCTCTCTCTCTCTCATTCACTCAACACCCCCCACCCACCCTTCTATCCCTCCAATTCATCCGCATAATCTACTTTCGTTTTCACCGTGAATGTCGTTAGCGCGTTATGAAACTCATTAATCTCGCAAATACTGCCCAACAATTTCGTGCCGCGTTACGCACCATTGAATTGCGCCCCGGCTCTGCTCCGAAATTCACGATTGCTGAAATTCACGGCGCCGGTGTTCCTTCGATTATTTTTTTTTTCATCCTACCTCTCTCTCTCTCTCTCTCTCTCTCTCTCTCTCTCTCTGTCGCTCTTTTTCTCTCTCTGTCTGTCTCTGTCTTTCCCTCTGTTTCTCTGTCTCTTTCTGTCTCTCTTCTATCCAACCAGTTCTCGAGCCTCTGTCAGAATTGTGTAGAAAAAAAGAAGGAGAAAATAAAAAACACAAACAAAAAAAGAAAACAAAAAAGAAAAAAATAAATAAAAAGAAAAAAGAATAAAAAATATTCGCTACGAAAAAAAAAGGTACGTCCGAGCAACGAAACATAAAAAAAGAATCGAGAATGAGAGAGAAAGAGAAAGAGAGAGAGAGAGAGAGAGAAACACAACGAGAAGGAAAGAAAATATATAATACCTATAGAATATATACACGCGTACTACATATGTACACGTTTACGTACGGACAGAACGACAACCATATATTTTCTCAATCGTACAAATCTAGTGTTTCAAAATCGTTCCTATTTCCCAAAGTGTTCTCATTAAAACAAAATTCCTTTTATTCCAACAACGATTCTCAAAATGTTCGAAAGGAACGTCGTAATGTTTGCAAAATTGATACGTAATAATTAAATTCTCGCAAGAATCAAAAGTAATATTTATATTATATTTAATTGTCAGAGATATGTTTAACTTGTGACGTTTCCCCCCGCACCAAAAAAAAAAGAAAAAAAAAAAGAGAAGAAAAGAAGAAAAGAAAGAGAAGAAAAAGTTATTGAAAGAGAAAAATCTTCGATAGAAATAGAATGAAATGATCGCATATAAAATGTATCCAATAATAGTTACGTTGATGTTCGATCTCGCATGATTTCCCTCGAAATACGTTGAAATGGACGATATAGGTTCATGGCAAGCTTGTCAATCAGGTACCGGTAATGAACTCTCGAGAAGAGGAGCTTCTCCGGGATTTTTCGTGAGTACCTGGTAGAGGAGAGAGAGAGAGAGAGAGAGAGAGAGAGAGATTTTAGATGCAGAAGGAAGAGGCAACCTCTTTTCTCTTCTTGACACCTTGAATAGTGTTAGTTCTAACGCCTATGGATCTCTCCGTTGCCCGGCCACTAAGACCTCTGTGGAGAAGAAGAGGAGAGAGAGAGATAGCCTTTGCCATCACAGCTAGGATCCCTGAGTTTCGCAAATTCGGTTCATTTGCCGCATTGTACGCGGCTTAACAGCGAAACGAGACCCTCTTCGTCGTCTCCATCACCAGAACGAACCAGAAGACTAGGAACAACCAGAGAAAGAGAGAGAGAGAGAGAGAGAGAGAGAGAGAGAGATAAAGATAGATAGATATGAAGAAAGGAGAGAGAAAAAGAGAGAGAGATAGACAGCGCTGATCGTCGCGAAAGAAGCTTGAAGTTTACCGACGAAAGAAAAGGGAAACCGAAGGGCGGTATGCCTATACCTCTTCTTCTCCTCTTTCTTTCTTCTCCCTTTTCTTTCTCTTTTTCCTTCTATCTCTCTTTTTCTCTCTCTCTTTCTCTCTCTCTCTCTTTCCCTCTTTTTCATCGTATCGTTCGAGTATATCGCATCCCTTTAATAGCTTAAAAAAAGATACCCCTTGGTTTTCAATTATTTCTTCAATTATACCCCTTACCTTTATTTAACTTATACAACGTATTCGTAAAATTTTAATCACCAATTTTTTACCGATATTAAAGAACAACCACCGTCGACTACCTACCTCGTTTTTTCTTTTTCTTTCTCTTTTGTTTTTTTCTTTTTTTCTTTCCCCCCTTTCTCTTTCTTTTTGTTCTCTTTCATTTTTTACTTTTTTTCCTCATCATCGATCTTTCAAAGGTAAGAGGACAGAGTTTGCACCTACTAAACGGTGCAAGAACGATCGGTAGTGACGAGGGGGTACAGAGGGAGAGGGTGGAATTACTTTCTAAAAGATCCTCTAATGCCGAAAAATGGAAAAGCAACGGGCCTCTGCAAGAGAGAGAGAAAGAAGAGAGAGAGAGAGAGAGAGAGAGAGAGAGAGAGAGAGAGAGCAGAGTTATTAGTTTTGCCAGTAGGTAGTCGAAGTTTTTAAGCCGGAAATCAATGTGCCCGACTCGCATATGGATTTCCTAGTTTCTCCTTTTTCAAACGTATGACGATTTTAAACGAGAGAGAACCGACTTTTGTTTTCAAAGTAACGCGTTTTGTACGTTCAAAGAAATGTTATTTTTCTTTTTCTTTTATTTATTTACTTATTTATTTATTTATTTATTTATTTATTTATTTATTTATTTATTTTATTTTATTTTATTTTATTTATCTTTCATTTTTTTCAAAGGTTTTCTTTTCTCTTTTCTTCCTCGCATCTCTTTTCTTTCTATTTTCTCTTTCTCTCTCTCTCTCTCTCTCTCTCTCTCTCTCTCCCTCCCTCCCCCTTACTTTTTTGTTTAGCCACCTTGTTTCAAGTCAAGATATAACTTTGAGGTTTTCTTCTTTTCTCTTTTTCTTTTTTTTCTTTTTCTTTTTCTTTTTTTTTCTTTTCTTTTCTTTTTTTGATCTCTTTCCTTTTCGTTTTTTCGTTTTGTTGTTTCGTTTTCTTTTTCTTTCCTTCTTTCGTTCTTTCTTTTTTATTCCTTATTCCTTATCCGTCGTTATTTATGAACTTATGAACGGCTTTCACTCGCTACTGCTAGCGTTCTCTTTTCTACTTCTTTTGAGTAGGATGAAAAAACTCGAGGAAAAATTTAATCTACGGAATCGTATCTCTCGGGGATTTACACGATATCGCATCGGATCGCGAATTACTTCGCGTAATCTTCCTCGAGTATATTTATAAAATATTCGTTGGCCATTATTCAGGGTCGGACTAATGAAAGAAAATTTTCAAGCATGCTCTTGCTTCATCGGAATCCGTCTCTTACCTCGAGTCTATAATATACCTATATATATGTATATATATATATATATATATATATATATATATATCTCGGCTTTTCAATTAAGCGGCGCGCCGTGTTTAATTTTCACGAAAGATCCTCTTGAAAAGAAAGAGAGAGAGAAAGAGAGAGAGAGAGAGAGAGAGAGAGAGAAAATATGAACGAGATGCATCTTTGTGAGCTATCGATCATGAAGAACGAGTGGCCCTGAGCTCTCCTCTTCTGCTCTTTTCATCGAACTCTTCTCTCTCCTCTCTCTCTCTCTCTTTCTTTCTTTCTCTTTCTTTCTCCATTCGTAAGCTTAATACGTAACTTAGTAATTTAATCAAGTCTTCGATGCCGGAGGCTTGACCAAACAACGTGTGCGACCCCGTAACGGTGACAGATATATTAGCTACGACTGAATAGAACCGTCTGCATTACATTATTCGACTGGTAGATCTCTAGGACAAACACGAGATCAACTTTTCCCATGATGTCTCTTCTCCGCTCCCTACCCTTCTAGGATGGACAGGGGTTCTCAGACTGGAAGAAGATTCAAGGGTTGATGGTAAACAACAAATTCAACTACTGATATTATCTCTTTCTATCTATCTATATATATATATATATATGTATATATGTATCTGTCTGGATGTCTATCTATCTATTTAACTTTTCCCATATTGTCAGAAAACAAATATGTAACATAATATTAATTTATCTTCCAAATCAAAAATAATTCATTTCATTGATTATATTAAAATCGAATGATTATTAAAACTAACGTTTCGCTGAATTTTTAATTATTTTTATTTGCAAAACTTTGAAACTTTATTACGAACGAATCGAAGAGAAGAATCGAGGATGGTTAAATTTGAAAAGAAGAGGACAGTAGTTTTCATATGAAATACATATATTTCAATATAAATATGCATATATCTATATATATATATACATAGAGAGAGAAAGAGGGAGAGAGAGAGAGAGAGAGACAGAAAGAGAAAAAGAAAAAAAAATATATATATATATATATAGGTGTACATACGTAAGTTAAAACACGAGGAAAATGGGAAGCGCTGAACTGGTATAAACAAGGGTC